AGTTCTATAATATAGCATACACACTATATTTATTACACTTCAAAGTTACAACACTTTTTAGCATTTATAAGGACAACTACGGCTCACCACGATGTCATTAGTTTAAACTCAATAAGAAGTATGACTGATATGTCACGTAGCATTTACGGTAGTAATCGAGTATTATATTAACATAGGAGCCCGAGAGTATTAATACAATTGGGTTCATATTATAAAAGTAATTTAAATAATTATAGTACATACATGTATGTATAAAATCCCAATTATTCCATCCCAAACATATAATTTGTATAAAATATCAATTACTCCTATCAAAATTCATGAAGTTCTTATACCTACCTCACTCCCGATTCCTTGCAATCCATCTGAAAGATTTAAAGTACATAGAGGCTGAATGCCCGAAGTCCACTAAAGGGTATCTATGTGAAGAGATACACAACATGTACAGCCCGACATCGCCTGATTGTATAACAGCTCTTGTTACTACGCAGTAAAAAATTCCTAATTGCAACCATTCATCGCATCTCTACATACGCCAGCCTACGAGAAACTCGACAACCGACACTGCACCATCAGTTTTCTAACTCCAATTAAAACACGCTTATCTTGCGGTCAAGACGTCTCTAAAATGCTACAAGGAAGCTTTTTAGCTATAATTCACTACAACTGTATTATACAAACATCTAACTTCATCATCTCATATCTTAATCATAAGTTAAAAGATCAAGCCTTGAAGATAGTTAGTCCAGTCATTATAGTAAGTTCACCTCGGAATGCGAGATACCCAGCTGTAAGTCTGTAAATAGTTGTATATTGACACCCTAAAAGTTGTCTCAAAACCTACATATGGTAGGGTGTAAGCAACTATTAAATTTCAAGTTCAAAGGTCACAAAAATCGTTTTTTTGCGCTTTTCTTGGAAATATCTCATTTCCTATGGGTTTTTTGTATTTATTATCAATATTGTAGAATACTAAATTCTCTACAAATTTTGTTTCAAAAAATTTTTTATACGGTGTACCGTTTTCGAGATAGAGGGCGGAGAGCGCGCGGTCACCGCATCACTTCAGGTCAACCGGTGCCTCCGGACGAAAACGCGCCATATACAGGGTGACTGGTGAGTTACTATCAATATTAAGGACGTGGTAGTTGACGATCATATATGACAAAATAAAAATTAATATAACATAAATATTAATAAACTTCTAAGTAAAGTTAACCAAAAGTTATGTAATTAATTACGGATCGCGTGGATACCCTAGCTGCGTTATCGACACAAAACAGTTATGTACGTAGGTATATGTAGTTATCGCGCGGTAGTTTTCCTACATCCAAACGCCGCGCGCTGCCGCGTGTTAGACCTTAGATAAACAAAAATGATCCAATTCCCTTCATACTTTAATCCTGGCTTAGGACAGGCAAAAATACCAAGATATTTCTTTCGTTTAAGCAACCAATTTATTGACTAGGTAAATGGTGTGACCTTGACACGAAAAATAATATGAACTGTTTACCTATCTTGGTATTTCCGGCGTATTTAAAAATGGAATCATTCTTATTTACAACAATTGTCAATCATTAAACTACCTATTTACCTACATAACTACACTAACCTTAACAAATGTTCAAAGCGAGCTCCTTCTCGTGTGATACACAGTTCGGCACGTTTACATATATTGTCTTTCACACGATTTAATACGAATGGGTCACTTTTAATAGTTTCGAAAGCACTATTGATTTTTAATTTCAACTCCTCTCTGTTGACATACATTGTAGCATACACAAGACGTTTCCTTGGGCATGTGTTGGAACACGGAACTGTCCGAAGTCTCGTAATCTTTGATTAGCGTTTAAGATGACGCTGGCCGTAGGTACTCGACGATTGGGGAACATCTCCCGGTACAAATTGATTGCGCCCCGCAAGCTTTCATTTGCACGCGCATACGCATAAACCATGTCCAAGTATTCTGCATTTGTGTATTGAAAAGCCATATTTAATTACTAATAAGTAATAACGGGTCACACGCACACACGACAGATTATTATTAGGTATACGCGTAAGATCGATCGCTAGGCGCGCGCGCGGGAAGACGAACGTACGGACCTTACGGCGGACCTCGCGCGACTAATAGCCGACTAATGGCCCGCTAGCCACGGGGCGGGGGTTGGGGAGTAGCGACACACTGGCGCCGGCAAGGATGAGTACGTATCCAAACTTTATTTATTTATACGGAAATTTGGTCAAAAATTAAGTACCTATTTTTTTTACATAATTCGAATGAGAATCATGTACCGAGTATGCTCCTTAAATATTGATAGTAACTCACCAGTCACCCTGTATAGTTGACGAACTATCAACAAATCAATGATTATAAATATTTGTCAATTTTCAAAAAGCAGAAGAACGTGGGGATGATTTTGGAGAATTGGTGAAAAGTCGTATAATTTTACAGTTTGATTTGATCGCTGCTGAAGCGAAGTACCATGCTGCTTGTTTTACAAACTTTTCAAATAAATCATCATCATCATCGCCTCTTGAGAAACCTCGTCAAGATAATCAAGTTACAGAAGCTATGTTAGAGATTTTCAATTACATCGAAAATAATAATGATTCTCAATTCACACTAAAAGAGCTTAAAGATGTCTTGACAGGGTATGTGCCAGATGATAAAACTATCATTACAAGACTACAACAGAAGTACTTAACCGATATCGTAATTACGAAGAAAGTTGGAGCTTTCACGATCGTTTCTTTCCGTGATGCACAAGCTAATATTCTATCAAAAGCTTGGTACGAAAGTAAAAAAATAGATCCTGAAGCAGAAAGGCTAAGAATTGTAGAAGCTGCAGCAGCAATTATTATTTATTATTAGAGAATTCTGCAATTACATGGACAGGTAAGTAAGTGTTGTTAAATAAATTAATACTGAATAAAAAGTGGATAAGTTAGGAAAAAAATGATAAAATATAATATAATAGTTAATAAAAATTGACAAATATTTATAATCATTGATTTATTGATAGTTCATCAACTATATATGGCGCGTTTTCGACCGGAGGCACCGTTTGACCTGAAGTGATGCGGTGACCGCGCGCTCTCCGCCCTCTATCTCGAAAACGGTACACCGTATAAAAAATTTTTTGAAACGAAATTTGTAGACAATTTACTATTCTACAATATTGATAATAAATACAAATGGCAAAAAACCCATAGGAAATGAGATATTTCCAAAAAAAGCGCAAAAAAACGATATTTGTGACCTTTGAACTTGAAATTTAATAGTTGCTTACACCCTACCATATGTAGGTTTTGAGACAACTTTTAGGGTGTCAATATACAACTATTTACAGACTTACAGCTGGGTATCTCGCATTCCGAGATTCTTACCTAATTTAAGCTTAAATGACTGGACTATTAAGTCAATCGCTGACTTAGGAGACCCCGCCCTAGCTAGTAGTTAAATTTATTCTTAATTGGTAATTGAATATATTTTGTAAGTAAAACGGATTTTTCTTGCATCATTCGCTGCCACCAAACATAATTCGCGTTTAACATTGTGGCAGACGATTTTGAAAATGTAAAAAAAAAAATTTCGAAAGTAATTGACCAGATATGCCATCAATATATTTTATTTATTATAGTCTTAAAAACTTATATTGTGAATGGCAGACTTTTTCATATAAACATCAGCACATAAATAAATCTGAGATTCACTACCCGGTCAGATGTCTATCTATTACGATAGCAGTTTTACATTAATATAATTTACTTAATCGCTGTATTTAATGAATTTAATAAATTCCATGTAGTCTACATACTGAACTTTTAAAGTTAAACGATAAAGGAGATACATAACGAAAAAATCTTAAATATTAAAGTATAAGTACTGCTAAGGACAAAAAATAATTATAATTTGTACATATTTTATTTTTGTACATGTTTTGTCAATCATATCAAGTTGTTGATGAGGAGATACAGTAAGTATTGTTGAATATTTATGTTGTACTGCACAGGAAGAAGCAGACATAAAAATAATATATCATGCTTGTAATATTGCTGAGCAGTCGAAAATTGTTATCAGAGCCTCTGACAATGAAATTTTATTCATGATTGGTAATATGGCACACTTGAAGAATTCTAAATCTAATATTTGGATGCTCAATGGAACAGGAAATAATGAAAGATATATTAACATCACAAAAACTTATACAGAGCTTGGTGAATTTAGGCAAATTTATATTTTATTTTAATGTTTTATACAATTTTAACTATTATTGAACTTTAAATTATTGAAATTGTATTTATTTGAAAAATGTAATTGGATATTGTGTTGTTTTGGAATAAGAATTAATTGTGTCAACTCCCCTACCAACTACAAAATAGAAAAATAAGATAGACCTAAGCTAGGTACACTGGTCAGAGGTACGAAAGGGATGAATGTGTAGGCGTAATATCAAAATATAAATGTAACTATATTATATTTATTTATTACACGACATTTTTCATATATAAAATTATATTTAATATTTATTTACGTATATTACACTCTATACAGTCACACTACACATTTATATATTCAATATTATATGTATAAAAATTTATGTAATATTATTTATAATGAATATTTAATTCACGAGCATACTCGGGCGAAACGCGTAGTATGCGGCGAAGCGAACGAGCGACGATATGAGTTTCACGTTTACCCACTGCTTCGTAAGATTTTAATATTCGATCGTATTAGCGAACAAAGACATTCAACCTTGCGCTTCGGTACTGAATACTCTAGTCATCATACTTCGTGTACATTAACAGTTAATTATTAGTTTTTCTATGTCCATACTGGTGACCCCGTAAAAAAATGACTAAAATGTTAGTTTTTCTACGTCCATAAATGAAAGAAAGAACTAGTATGAGGAATGAAAGGCCCTTATGTATGCGAGAACTGGTATGAAAGAGTAAACCACAACTGTAAACAAAGTCTCTGACCACGTCAGAGGGAGCTGTATAAAAAAAAACACTACCCCGCCCCGCGATCCCCGTCGACGACCAACAGCGCCCAAGGAGCAGAGCCTTCACGTCTCCAGGCTGGGATATGCCAAGGAGAGCCTTCACGTCTCCAGGCTGGGATATGCCAAGGAGAGAGCCTTCACGTCTCCAGGCTGGGATATACCAAGGAGAGAGCCTTCACGTCTCCAGGCTGGGATATGCCAAGGAGAGAGCCTTCACGTCTCCAGGCTGGGATATGCCAAGGAGAGAGCCTTCACGTCTCCAGGCTGGGATATGCCAAGGAGAGAGCCTTCACGTCTCCAGGCTGGGATATGCCAAGGAGAGAGCCTTCACGTCTCCAGGCTGGGATATGCCAAGGAGAGAGCCTTCACGTCTCCAGGCTGGGATATGCCGAGGAGAGAGCCTTCACGTCTCCAGGCTGGGATATGCCGAGGAGAGAGCCTTCACGTCTCCAGGCTGGGATATGCCAAGGAGAGAGCCTTCACGTCTCCAGGCTGGGATATGCCAAGGAGAGAGCCTTCACGTCTCCAGACTGGGATATGCCATGCCTGGAAAACAATTCTATCAAACAACAACCATGCTCTTTTATATACTTTGACAACTTTTTTACGTCAATTGAATTAATGCATCAACCTAAGGAGTGAGTACGGTATATTCTCCTTAGGTACAGTCAGGACAAATCGACTTCGTGGGGCAGAAAAATAATTACCAACTGATAAAGAGTTAAAAAAAATGGGCATGGGAGCTTTTGCACAAGTCTTGACTAACGAACACAATATAGCTGTTGTGAAGTGGTTCGATAACAAGTTTGTTGTGACTATAAGTCTTACCCTGTACAGAATATAATACGGTACAAGAAAGAAGAAAAGAAGAAAGCTTTGGTCACATGCCCAAATATAAGGCACTATAACGGAAACATGGGTGGAGTTGATCTAGCCGATATGTTAATTGCTTTATACCGTACTGACTTGAAAGGCCGTCGTTGGTATTAAGTATTGTTTTCACAGATTTTGGACTTATGCATCAATGCCTGGTTGCTGTATCGTCACGAGAATAGTGGGAAACAAAAACGATTGCCACTTTAAAAGTTTGGAGTCGCTCTATTTAGGCAACTGCGTTTTTTAGGGAGGAGTTTTAATCTACAACCTGATGCTCTATACAAAGCTGTGAAAATAATAAAAAAAACCAGTAGCGGAGAGAGATAATGCTACTCGTTACGACCTAACGGGACATCTTCCTGCGTTTACGACAAAAGGCAGATGTAAACTATGTACGAAACATCAAACCAAATTTTTTTGTCCAAAGTGTAACGCACGGTGTATAGTTGAAGGGCGAAATTGCTTTATAGATTTTCATACAATTCGTATTTAAGTTTTTCATATTGTTACACAATAGATAGATATGTAAGTAAACTTTGATCTCAGAGCTTTAGGACTGAATATTGTGATAAATAATGATAAGAAGTTTAACTTTGTTTGAAAAAAAAAATTTTAACTAATGTAACATGCGTTACTTATTGACCTAGTTCCTAACAGATCTCAAAACTTGTTAATATTTTTTAAGATTTATATTATTTTTACGTTTTTGTTTAGTTTTTAGTTTAGTTATAATATGGCAGTGTGCATGTAAAACCACGTTCTTCTTTATATTTTTTTGAAGAAAGCTGAAAAATTATAAAAAAAAACCTAAAGATAGAATTAAACGTTCTTATATAGAAACGAGATTGGAAATATTGGAACAGTTGTTTATTGACTTTGAGAATGAACACAAGGCGATCATTTCGAGTGATTCTGTTGACAAGAAAGAATCATACTTCACCGAGGGTAAATACGAGATGTTTGAAGAGTTATAAGTACAATATAAAACTAATCTATGTACTAAAAGCTTTAGATGAGTCTTCGACGCCACGTGCAGATACACTTATCTCGACAGTATATATTATATATAGATCTACGCCGTGTTCAACACCTGCTAAACGAGCTAAAGAAGATGAAACTGGATCCAACTTCACACGTGAAGCTCATGACACTTTTTGGGATTGTTTCATTGAAGTAGCAAAGGATAATAGAAGTGATTGTGGGAATCAAGAAAAACAAAATCCAATTGCTAACGAGATTGATTTTTTCTTAAAGACAGCTCGTATCGATCGCAATCACGACCCATATATTTGGTGGTCAGTTAATGTGAACCAGTACCCGCAGTTGTCAAGGTCAGCACCTGGCAGCAGCGTTTATAGCGAAAGGCTGTTTTCAGAAGCGGGTCTGGTATACGAAGCCAAGCGGAGTCGCCTGTTACCAACGAATGCGGAAAATTTGGTATTCATTCACCACAATTTGCCCCTTGTTAATTTTGAGTACTAAACGAACTGATTAATATTTAACCAATTACTTTGCAATTATAAAAATAAAACTTGTTCTTATCCTATATGTCGTATCATTTGCTTTGTGTAAACTTCGTAAGGTTTTTTTATTTTAATATCCGAAATTCGGCCGGATACCGGATAGTTACCGGATATCCGTTTCATCTCTAGTATATAATACAAAAGGGCATAGTAAGTGCAGTGACATTAAATTACCGCGCGTACAATTACCTACTTTTGGCGGAAAATATGAGGAATGGCAGACTTTCTATGACATGTTTTCCTCGTTAATACACAACAATGTCAATTATCGTATATTTTTGCAGCAGTGTAATACACAGCGGCCAGACAGTATATATAATATTTATATAAAAAAATGATACACAAGTAATTGTTTTGCACCTTAGGTGTAACTTGTCATCGAATAGATTAATGAATGTATTTATTTTTTTTGTTCTTGATATTTCGATTTTAGTTTATTAGCTTTATTACTATAAAATGATAAAGTGTAATTGTCATAATTAAACAATAATTGTTATAATATTGTAAAGGCGTGTCCAGTAAAATAAATCTTTGTATTTTCAGAGAAACATATTGTGGTTTGCTTTGAGTGCCCTTGATAATATTCCTTGTAAATATAAAATACTTACACCTTTTAGTAGATCACTACACAAGATTTGCTTTTATTGCGACTTCAAAAACACAGAATGCAAGTGTGAAGTACCTTATATAAAATTAACAAAGAATGTACTAGAAACAGATAAGATTGGGATATTTATGACAGATCAATATCCAGGAATCAATTCAAATGAATTTAAACAATATTTGCAGGAGAATAACATTAAACTAATTTATACAGCTGTGAATACATCATTCTTGAACGGGCTGAACGAACGATTAAACCAAACAATAGTAAATAAAAGATGGAAAATAAATGAGAAAAATAATAAGAAAAAATGGACAATTGTGGCAAGAGAATATATCGTCATCAGCCTATCAACGCCCACTGCTGAGCATAGCCTCTTCTCACATGGAGAAGGTTTTTTGAGCATTAATCACCACGCTTGCTCAAGACGGGTTGGTGATTTTCTTGTCGTTTTTATGACAAGAAAACTTTATTAGTTGAGAAATATCTCAGACAGGATGTCCGATTCCTACAATGGTAGACGTATCAATCCGATCCAGCGTGGAAAGCCCGCTAGCGGATTCGATAATCAAAACCGAAGACCCAATACCGGTACAAGGAGCCAGAGGCGAGCATATGAATTCCAGCAGCAGAGGGCAGCTGAGACAGATTGGGCAGAGGCGCGTGAGTTTGAACAACGCCCCCCAAAACAACGTGGTCCGACACAAAGAAGCGTAGCCCGGAAGGACAAACAAAAGAAGAAAGTAGAAAAGGAGAAGAGAATATATACAGAAATATAATTTACTGGATGGTACAAATGTCAGTATTTTACCAACTGACATTAAAAAAATAGTAAAGGAAGACAAGTGGATTGCTGATAGACAATTAGCATTAGAGAAACAACAAGAATTTTTTTGATAAAAATAGGAAAATGCAAGATTACGACATAGGAGACAGTGACGAACGACGAACGACGAATTAAAAATAGGCCCTTTCAAAATAATAGAGAAAATATCAAACTCCATTTATAAGATTGACATTGGCAATAGAAAAACAGAATCAACTTCATTCCATGTATCAAAATTACAACTTGTCACAGTAGGAGATATAATAGAAGAAAACGAATATTAAGATAGTTTGTAGGTACGCAGTCTGATTATATTAGATAGAATTCTCGATCTTAGGGGGGGAGATGTAATGAAATGACATTTCATTAAATTTTAATTGTCGACCAGGGACGCGTCACTATTCACTAATGGCGAGTTATGTTTAAGTTCTGTGCACTTTATGATTATTAAAACGTGTAGAGAGATTAACTAAGGGATATAATTGAGGAGGCGATATTAGTGGACTTTAATGACGTTTCTTTGTATTTTCAGGTAAAGTGTAATTGTCATAATTAAACGATAATTGTTATAATATTGTAAAAGCGTGTCTAGCAAAATAAATCTTTGTATTTTCAGAGAAACAAATTGTGGTTTGCTTTGAATGCCCTTGATAATATTCCTTATGAGTACATCATAATTTCAATTCAATACTATAATATATTTTTTTAGGTTATGTAAGTATAAGTTTATTTTTTGTTGATGTTTTCTTACTAATTAATGTCTATTTACTTATTTCCAGGTGGTGCCAAGTACAAAAGAAATGACAGAGTATCAAGCATCTACAGAGTCCGAGACTCAGTTCTCCGTAAAAAGAGAAAGCAGCCCACTTTACTTAATGTTTTGGGATGAGGATTAAGTTTCGAAGCTGAGTTGTAAAAAACATGCGTGTAGATGCTCTCTTTGGACTCAACAACATTTAAAATAATCGTTGACACAGTAAAATTATTGATAACAGTTATTCAACAGAACATTTTAGTGAGGTACACAAATTAATTTGAGGAAAGTGCGGTTTTTCATATCACAAAACGCTTTGTATGACGTCCGCTTATTATGGCGTGTTTGTCAATTCCTTTTGATGTCATAATAAACGGATTCTACTGTGTGTCTTTTTTTAATTACGAACTATATATTGTGTAATCCAGAGGGTGTCCTACTAAATATTTTTCGGAGGGCATGCGAATCATCGCCCTAAAAATCATGAACACATTCTAACTCATTACCAAAATTGTAAAAGGTCATTATTAAAATTATCTAAAGGCTATCAAAGAAGTATTCATTTCAAACCATCATCAACATCACAAACATTGGTCCTTCGAGCGGGATGAAACAAAGAATCGACCAGCATAAAACGCACTCTCTAAACCAGCATTAAGGATCCGTAGGGGCCAACAGAATACAGCCAAGTCAGCCAATCATCCATCTTTTATCCTTCCTTACCTCTATCCAGTGCTTATTTTGTGGTAATAGTGGGTTAATTCCGGGCGTAAATCATTATTTTATGCGGGCGTAAATCATTATCCACAAACCCATTATAATGACGCATGTAGGTAGATACGTTGAGTGACTTAAACAAGAAAAGCGGGATATAAAAGGTAGATTTACTTTATTTTGCAAATATGTTGAGTCGATAGAAAACGTATTTATAACTGACCTAATTAAAACTGAGTTGCAAGAACGGTTGCAAAAAGCCGAGTCATTGTTGGATAAATTTTCTGAAATTCAGAATGAAATTGACTTTAATGTCGTAGATTCTCAAATGGAAAAGGAATTAATTGAGCGGGAAACCTTCGAGAACCATTATTATGTATATATATCTAAGTCTCAGTGTATCCTAGCCGAAATTAGTAACGTTACTAATAATTCACGTAAAAATAATGATAAAACTACCAACAATTTCCTTGCCGTCCTTTGACGGTTCCTATGATCAGTGGCTCGAGTTTCGCGACACCTATTTATCTCTTATTATCATTCGGAAGACATAGATAACGTACAAAAGTTCCATTACTTGCGGTCTTCTCTCACAGGTAACGCACTTATGGTAATTAAATCATTGGAGTTTACGTGTGAAAATTACATTATAACATGGGATCTACATATTAGAAAACCGATATAACAATAATAATCGTTTCCTCGTACAAAACCATGTAAAGCGTTGTTTTTTACTGTGGCGGTAAATAAGGAGTCACCGGTTCAAATACGTAAATTAATTGACAATATTTTGAAGAACATACATATTTAATTGTTACAAAACTTGATTCGTCTACGGAACGAGAATGGAAAAATTACAAAAGTACAATTATTGTCAGCAGTGGCGGCTGTACCTTAAGTGCACTCGTGCGCTGAACCATCAATTCAAAAGATTTGAAAATTACAAAATATTACTTCATCTTTATTTTTAAATTACCATTTCAATATTTATTTTCTAAACATACAAAAACGTATAAAAAATAATTTTCTAATTATAGTCAAAAAGTTTGAGCGCTTTAATACATTAATATCTCGTGCGTTTCGGCGAGTGCACGAGGACTGCTAATACATCTTGTATGAGATACGCATTAATACGCCTGACGCGTGAAACAAAAGATAGTTCATAGAAATCTACCGAGTAATGAGTCGGTTCTCGAGCGCCGCACGAGCGACCGAAGATTACCGAGAGCACCCGATGTATGACGAATTGAAATTGAAAAAATTGAAAAAAAATTGAAATCAAAACTTTTTTCCGATATACCATGCACTTGCAAAATGCACTTTCTGTGCTTAGTATTGAAAAAATAATTATACAAACAATATCCGATTTTAATAAAAATTTTATTGAATATTTCGCTTCATAAAAATGTCGTCGCATTGATTTAATGTATAATAAATAAACATAGTTTATGACAATTGGTTTTTTGTTACATTTTCTAATTTAATATTTTAGTAAAGTGCACCACCAGTTCGATAACCCACCAGCCGCCACTGATTGTCAGCGACGAAGCAAAATAATAACTTATAGTTATGTAGAGATCGTGTCAGTTATTTAGAGATCATGTTAATTATATAGAGATCATGTTATTTATGTATAGATATAAAAGCTAAGACCTCTTTGCGTCTCGTATTCGGTGCGCAAACTACATTTAAGTTATACTCGTATTTAGTATGGCTGGATTGTATTTTTGTAAAGTCATAAACAGTGAACTTGAAAAATAATAAATAAACACGGCAGCAGAGTCACAAACATAGCCGCCGCGCCCGACGTCATCGACCTCACTTTAGTGCAGGGCCTGAGTACAGACCCGTCGATTGACGTCCTAGACGACCACATGATGTCGGATCACCAACCGGTTCTGGTCACTATTGATCTGGCGCCGATCCGGAGGGAAATCCCGTCCCCGCGTCATAGACAACACTGGCATATCTTCGCGGACAACCTGTCCAAGAACTTGCGGTCTTTTCAAGTGGACAGCCCCGACCATGTGGACCGCCTCGCCCTCGAGCTTACCGAGTCGATCACCCGGGCACTCGAGGCCTCGCGGCTAAGCACCACATCACACCGGAAACGACCGCAGTTACCTGCCGGGATACGAGACATGATCGAGGACAAAAGGAGGCTGCGTAGACTATACCAGCGCACCCGATGCCCGACCATCAAGTCCCAGCTCAATGCTCTGGCGGAGAGAGTCTCAGCGGTGTTGGAGGACCACGCTGTGGACTCTTGGTACAAGACCATCGAGCGAGCTGGAGAAGACTGGTCGGGTATCCACTGCATATGCCGCCAAGTATCCAGGAAGTCAGAACCGATCCGGCCCCTGCTAGCGAGTGACAGCACCCCACGCTACCGCGCAGCGGACCGAGCCGAGATCTTCGCTGACTACCTGGAGACCCACTTTTAGCCATACCCAGCCGAAGACACCCAGCACGCAGAGGAAGTCGAACAAACCGTAGACGAATACCTCGAGCAAGCGATAGCCCCCACGGAAGACCCCATAATCATCACCCTCGGCCAATTTTTTTCCAGATTCGCCGTACTAAGCTCCGGAAGGCCCCGGTCCTGATGGAATTACAAACGAAGCCACCCGTCACCTCCCCGCTCGTGGCATAATAGCAGTGACGAGATTAAAATTGTTAAAAATTGTTATCTTGCTAATATTCCTTGTATCTCATTTTAAGTGAATGTAAAATTCTTATGAGAAATAAAAAGTTCTTTATACTCATTATACAACGGAGTCCTCAGGACCGGCCACATCCCTACCCAATGGAAGCTCGGCCGAGTCATCATGTTACCGAAGCCATGTCACATAATAATAATAATAGCACAGTGTTAAAAACGAAACACATAAACTATATTACAATCCCGCAATTTTGACTGATAGGACCATCCATTACAATCGCTGCCTGATATAGTGCTCACAGACAAACACAATAAAATTACATTCTTAATTGACATAGCTGTACCTAACACTCACAATTTGCAAAAAACAATAGCGGAGAAAATTCATAAATACACCGACCTTAAAGACGAAGTCCTAAGCATCTGGAAGCAAAATAAAGTCTACGTAGTACCCATAGTCCTATCAACGACCGGCGTTATCCCCAATAATTTACATAATAGCCTTAAACTTATTGGACTGAAACCCACTTCTTATATATAATACCAAAAAGCCGCTATACTGAACACATGTAGAATAGTTAGGAAATTTTTAGAATTAGATGAAACTTTTCCACAAACTTAAATCAATCCAACAGTAACCCCTACTTGACGCCAGTCCGTAAAGGTTACTTATATTCTACCGGTGTAAGCCTAGAAGACATATATATATATAAATAATAATAATAGTTTATTTTAATAAACATAAACCTGACACAAATCATATAAAAAGGACATCGAATCAACAATACAAGACGCATAGCTTTATATCTACGCAAAATAAACAAAATAAATTTATCAAAAGAATATAAATAGTTTATAAATTAATATATTGAGTTGGGACACATGAAACCGCCAAGTGACACGAAACCATCATGTTATTAACCACACCATTGTGTTTTACGTGACGATTCTACAACAATGTCACTGCGAGTCGTATTTAATGCGTCATCGCTTACATCATAGGGATTCAGTTTAAACGATCTCATGTATAAAGGACTCAATTTACAACAAAATCTTCAATTATTAATATTAAAATGGCGACAATACAAAATCGCGTTTACGAAAGATATTGAAAAAATGTTTCAAAACATATTAATGCACGAGGTTGACCAGAATTTACAGAAAATTGTGTGGAGAGATGATCCCAAGGATAAGTTGCAGGAGTATCAATTAACTACAGTTACATACGGTTTAAAAGCCGCTCCTTTTCTCGCTATGATGACATTACGACAGTTAGCGAACGATGAACGAGATAATTAGCAAGAAGCTACAAAAATCATTGAACAGTAATTCTATATACTTTATCATCAGCAAAGGAACTACAAAGGGACTTAATTAATTTATTAAAGTCTGGTGGATTCAATTGACGAAAATGGGTGTCAAACAATCCTAATTTGTTACAAGGACAAATTAATGATCAAAATCAACAAAGCACTCTTCATTTTAACCTAACTTTGCTTTTTAATTTAACTTTGCTTTTCTTCATGATCACTATATCCAGCACATATTCGACTTCAAATATAAATAAATTTAGAGACAATCAAGGTCTATACTTCGTTAAGTTTGGAGATATGCAAATAATACGGGACGATTGGAAACATATTCTATATTACAATATGGAACCTTATTGGGAAGGAATAACAGCCATTAATAAGAATAAAAAATCACTAAAACAAACCTGCAAAAAAATAAGAACTCAGACACGATGCGAGCTACTACATATTATTACAATTACGTCACTGTTACTTAGTCAGCATATTTTATTAACGTCGGTTATCTTGCAAATAGCCTGTTCAGGTACTGGACGCAAGATTCGCTGAACAGTATGAAAGAGATATCAAATTACTTCGTACTAACCAATTAAACTTAGCATCATACTGGTAAAATCAAACTTCTATAATTGAAGCTGAAAATAACGTTCTTAAGCAATAAGTATAAAATGATTCATAAGCACATTAATTTATTGGATCAATCGACAAATAATTTTCAATCAGAAATTCAAAATATAACAATAATTCATTAATGAAATGCTCGGAGGAGCTGTCATCGGAAGTAACATGCTTAATAATCTAAAAAAATTACAGAGTACGTTACTAGACACCATTACAGTCTACAGATATATATCATGGTTGTATGAATCCACATTTAATAACACCTAAGCAGTTGGGAAGGCAGCTTAGTACCATAACAAGCAACTATATAAAGACGTGACCTTGCCAATACCCAATATATGTACACAAAAAAATAAAATTTATAAATTCATTCAATAGAGAGCAAGAATATTAGAAAAATATTTAATAATAGAGATAAGAATACCATTGGTAATTGGAGACATGAAATATTTTGTATTATTCCAATACCAAACAGAAAGGAAAATAAAATGATTAGCATTATAACGTTATCGAATTATGTAGCAATCAACTTAAAACATAACATTATAAGTTAAATTATTTAATAAATAAAAATATGTGTCCTAAATTATATTTAGGAACCTTAAACCAATATAGAAAGATTACAAAACTATGTTTAAATTACAGAAACTATGTTTGAATTACCGTGTAATGCATTGCATATCGAATATTATTTTTTTTTAACAGACTTGGACATGTTTTGCGATTCATATTCGAAATTCAGACATACATTGCAAAAATATTTCTAAAATTGTAACTTTTCGCTTTCAATTTACATATGTGTTGTTTTTATTAATTAGTGTTGTTTTTTTTTTTGCAGATGTAATTTAATTTAATTAGATTAAGGTGTTGTTGTTAAAAACTTTTTAGACAGTGCTGTGAATACTTGTAATAGGTGTACATATGAAGGGTTGCGAAGCGGAAACCTCCCCGAGCGCCTGACTGTTACCAGTCCCTCACGGACCACGGTCCGGGGGGAAGGGTAGCAGCCGGGCCTGGTGGTCTCTCTTCAAGAGACCCTCGCAGAGTAGGTGCAGTGGGCACGGGACATGGCAAGGATAATGGACAACGATTTGCTAGTGATTTGGACAGGACGACGACGGTGGTCAGCTCGGACCAGGAGGAGCAGACCACGGTAACTACGAGAGTGCACACCACGAGTGGCTCAGAAATGGAGGCGGAGGAGACGCGCTCGGCGTTCTTCGCTGGAGGGACGACAGCGAGTTTCAAGCCGTTCCGGAAGAGACCACTCAGGAGAGAGTCAGAAGGGAGCTCCTCTGGTGGCAGTGCCAAATCCTCCCTCGTAAAAAGAGGGAGGGGCGAGGACGGCTGATCGTGCCTGGGATGAGGAAACGGCGGCGATGACGGCGCGGCGAGACGAAGCCGCAATATCGTCAGTAAAGACGCTGCCGGCCTCATCCCTAGCGAAAGAAATGGAGAGGGCCCTGGGGGTTATTGTGGAAGTGGCCACAAACTCCACGAATTTGAAAGGAGGCTGGGTCCCGGCGCTGAAGACGTCGAGGGCGTTGTTGGGAGAAGCTAAAGACGTCCTCCTGCAGCGGACCAGCGGAGAAGAAACGGAAATCCTCCAAGCCCGGCTCGAGGAGGAGAAGCGCAAGAACGCGCTCCTCCAACAAGAGCTGGGGATGTTGAGGGACGGACAGGCCCGTCTACAGGCGGACCTGGACAAACTCTCATCCCCAAGGGCAACGAGGACGGACCGAACGGAGGAAGAATTTCGCGGGTCCCTGATGCGGGAAATCGGGGTCATGATGGATAGAGGGGATAGAGGGGCGCCTGATGCCTGAAAGGCGCCTTAAACCTCCCCTGGCATCGGATAAGACACAGGCACCACCGGTCAGAACACCAGCACCGGCCACGGCTGCGTCAGAGGCCAGGCGGCTGGAGCGGCGGCCAACGGTGCCAAGGCCAAAAAGGCCAAAGACAAGGACACGACGGCAAGACCTCTGCCCACGCCGCCTCCATCCATGCAAGGAAGAAGGCCGCAGTCGCCTGTGCTACAGGTGTGGCAAGCCCGACCACATCGCTGTGGAATGTAAGGAGAAGGCACACTGTGTGGTGTGCGCATCCCACAACAAGAGTGCCAACCATCGCTTGGGAGGTCCAAAATGCTCGGCCCCCAAGAAACGAATACCGAGAAGAGCCACCGCCGTAACATCGGCGGCGTCCCAACCGAGCGGGGACCGAATGGAAGTAACAGAAATCGTGGGACATCAATAGAATGGAACTCAAAACTCTACAGGCGAATCTAAACCACTGCGCCAGAGCTCAGGACCTTGATGTGTAAACATAATATTATACAGATAATACGAGAATAATTCATTTTGTATTGAAGTTATAAGAAATTTGTGTTATGTTTAAACAAACTAATTATATACCCGTAATAGTGTGTACATGTTCGACGTTATTCAGTCCAGTTGTGCTTACTTCCTATTTCAAGTGTGTGTCAAAGTAGATAATAAGCGAGTTGCGTTGTGACATGACATTGTTATTACTGTTTGTACCAAAACTTGAACGATTTCAATTTGACGATCGTACGGCGCAGTGGAAACGCGTATGACTGCAACTCCGAGGTTCGCGGGTTTAATTCACCTTCAAGACAACAAACACTATAATGCGTTACGGATTATTGCCAGCAAAAGAATTTAACAGTTAGGCATAATGAAATGAAATGGATTTTATTTTAATTTATAAATCAAACTGATATACCTAATAATATTCTTAACGATATTTGTAGATTTGAATGTGACTAAAAAGAAGTTACAAAGATTCCTAAAATAAACTGGTCAAGCGTACGTGAGAAAAGATGGCATTGAAGTAGCTGCTAAAGAAATGAAACCTAATCCGTGTGTGAGCAAAAAATGTGGCAATGGTTGTGAAACTATAACAAACGAGAGACGAAAAAGTATATTTGACTATTTTTGGAGTCTATCAACGACACGGCGTAAAGATTGGCTAGTATCGATGACACAAAAAACAGCTATAAACCGAAAAAGAGCTAATTCTGACAAACGTTCATATTCTTATAAGTACTCAATAACAGACGCTGAGGGCAAAAGATGTGTTTGTCTTCAGTTTTTAGCGGCTACTTTGGATGTCGGCGTAAAATTTATTCAATATACTATACAAAACTCTGAAATTGGATTATCTAAAGAAGATAATCGTGGTAGACATGAGCCTCATAATAAAACAAAGGAATTGACCATAGCGTTAGTGAATAATTACATAAAGAGTCTTCCAGCTGTTCCCTCCCATTACTGTCGTAAGGATTCCAGTCGTGTTTACTTACCAACTCATATTAAAAATCCATCATATTTGTATCAAATGTATAAAAAGTGTTATATAGAAAGAGGCATTGATATTGTAAGTGAGCGTACTTTTCGATCGAAATTTAATGAAAAGTTTAATATTGGATTTCATGTACCCAAAAAGGACAAATGTCTGAAGTGCCTTAAACATGAACAATGTAAAGATAACACAAATATTCAAGAAGAAATTAAACTGCATGAGAAGGAAAAAAATGAGAGCTACTGTAGATTTAAAGTTCATCAAAATATACATAAAAATGACCCTGGCACGCTATGTGTCAGTTTTGATCTACAAAAAGTATTAAATACCCCATACGGTGACAGCATGCTTTTATAGCCGTAAACTAGCTGTGTATAACCTATGCTTCTATGAGAGCGGCACACGCATGGTATTTTGTTTTCATTGGGATGAAAGTCATGGTAAAAGAGGAGCCAATGAAATTGCAACAATAATCAATAAATACATTAATATTGTGGATGAACGTGGCACAGTAAAAAAAATTGTAGTTATACTGCGATTGTCGCCCTGGCCAAAATAGGAATCGGATAATCATGGCAATGTTACACTCAACTTTGCAAGCATGCAAAAACATTAACATAATTCAGTTATTTTTTTATTAACAGGACATCCTTAAATGCCAGTAGACTCTGTCCACGCTGTTATAGAAAGAAATTTAAAAAAAACTATCATTCACGCACCCTCGCAGTGGTATACTATCTTTAGTACAGCGAGACAAGATCCAGAACCTTACATTGTCTAGTCACTACAATTCCAAGATTTCTATAAATGGGATTCAATCAGTGAAAAGTATTTCAAGGGTAATCTCAGTGGCAAAATCAGTAAAATGCGCATTGTCACATTTAAAAAGATCAATAACAATGTAATTCATGCAAAAAACTCTATGACCGAAAATGCAGACTCATATTCAATAGAAGTTCTAACAAAGTCTAGAATTAATGTTCCACCATGTTATAAATCTCGGTTGCCTATTTCGAAAGCCAAACTTGACGACTTACTGAAGCTTTGTACCGATAAAGTGATCCCTCAAATATTTCACAGTGAATATCAGTGTCTTACAAGTGCCAACAGCATTAAAGATACCCTTCCAGAATCAGATCTAGAAGTTAATTATGAATTCTTCTTAAATCTCAAACTACTTCAAGAACAGTGGGGATACAACTTCAACGAAAACTTCCATAAAGAAACAATAGTGTGGAATGATCTTAAAGTACTGAAATTTGACAAAGCGGAGATGTTCCACTTTTATTGTAAAACATCATACTCCGATGAGATGTTTTCTCAAATCAACATGCGCAATAAACGTAAAAAAATGATGGGGTTCAATGAAATTGTAATTAAACAGCTGTATGAGCATGCACTTGAGTTAAAAGAAAATAAAAAAAGGGATCTCAAAGATTTAGTCAGAAAAAATTTAATACCTAGTATTTACGCTAGTTTTTACAACACTTTGTAAGAAACTTTAATTCAAATAATAATAGCACATGGACACATACGACAATTACCTATTATGAGATATTAAAGTAACAAACTTTAAAGAAGTATGTTGTACCAAAAAGCTAAGTCTGAATCAGTGCAATAGGCAAAGTTTAATAGTTGATTAAGTACAACTGAATTATAACCAGAATACTGTTACTGTGGTAAACTGATAGATAAGTTATGCTATTAATACTGATTTTGATGTGATTCAAATACTTTAAATAACTATTTTTATTTTGGTTACGTTTCGTTAAATTTAAGAATTCGTTATCTAAACCAGTGAAAACAGAAGGTCTCATTATTTGGATTGTCTGAGTTAAGCAGAGTTTAATTAAAATTTGATTAAGTAATACATCCGAACTATAACTATGTACAAGACTGTACTAGTACCACTATGTTCAACTGAAAAGTTAGTGCTAATATAGGAATATTGTTGATTTGGATAAATATGTATTTTATTAGTGTTATAGAAGACTGATATTGATTATGTTTCGTTATTTCGTTAAGTATTACTTACGTAAACGTTTGGTTTCCTACTTTATGACACGATTTTGATACTATTTTTTAGTGTGATTATTATTACTGATCTCTATTAAGTCTAAGGAGTGATTTATTAAATGACATTTACACATACTTTACTGTTATATTTAGCTTGTTTGAAAAAATAAACAAAATCTTAAAAATGAAACTGACTTATTTTTAGAAAAACATATTTTTTTAAAACAAAGTTAGAAATGAACAGACCTTTACCTAAAAAGGTCAGTAGAAATAAAAAACTTCTAATACTAAAGTGACCTATTTTTTCGATTTTTTTTCTAAACTTTATTTTATACGAGAAAATCATATTTTTTTGCAAAAACTATATAATGTTTCTAAAGCTATTTAGTGAAACAATAAATTTCAACAGAAATTCATAACTTTTGTTACCATGTTTTAGAGTTATTGTAAAATGAACAGAAAATGTTTAATACGACGAACACATTTTCGCTCTTTCCCAAAAATTAGCAATTTTGAGTTGAGTCACTTTCGTTCTCAGCGTGCGATATCTGTAATTTGGTGTCACTCGCTTAAGTAAGGATTGGTCTAATGGTATCTACGGCCGCCTCAAACTACACTAAGACGACTGATCAGGGTTCTAATCCGTACAAAATGTAAAGTAAATATTATTTTATTTTTTTCTTCTTTTTCGTTTTTTTATAAAATTTGTATCTTTCTTGAATACATTAAAAGAAACGTCCAAACTTTAAAATAATGTCTTCTAAAATTAAATTTGAATGTTGCTTACGAAATCCCAATTCAGTAGAAATAGTTAAATGTCAGATATTTCTAAAGAAATATCATTATGCTTGCGTTAGTACTACTAAAACATCGTATGCTGAACTGACAGAGCATTACAAAATCTCCTGGCTCTGTCCGACTTGCTCGAGACATAAGAGAGGTAAAACAAATACGCCAGTGAGGCCGGAGAGCAATACCTCACCACAAATAAATAACATCACAGTTAGGGGCAATCAAACAAGCAACGCTAACAATGTATTAAGTGATGAGACATTAAATGAAGTACGAAGCATCTTTCGAGAAGAACTTAATTG